AAAAATAATTGTAGTTTTACATAATTTAAAATTAAAAATTTTGTACAGCCGACTTCAATATAAGTTATTTAAGAATAACTTAAAAACTATTGGTCTGACCTTGATCAAATTCATATGGGACCACACGAGAAGTACCAGCTTTCAAATAAAAAAAGAATCATCGAAATCGGTTCACCCAGAAAAAAGTTCTGAGGTAGCACACATAAAAAAAAACAAACGAAAAAAAAAAAACATACAGTCGAATTGAGTACCGGCTCCTTTTTGGAAGTCGGCAGAAAAATAAGTGATATTCATTCTGTAAATACTAGGAACAGACACAAGTTAGTAGTACCAGTTACTCGACTCCATCGAGTCAGTAATCTGTTCTTGGGGCAATGTATACGCTTTTACAAGAAAATTCCAGAAAATATATAAAATTTGACCTGCTCAAAGTTCAAAAACATTATTAAAATAAGTTTGTATAATAAGGGTTATTATAATATTAAGGAATTTATAGATGATAATAACCCCTGGAAATGAGGTGATTGCTACCAAGCTATTTCTAATTTGTTGTGTTGTTAATTTGTTTAACATCATGATTATAAGCTGTTATTTAAAAATAAAAGTCCCCCTGGGTTTCTTGCTGGTTCTTCCCAGGACAGAGGTTTTTTCCGAACCAGTGGTAATCAAACAAAAGAGTGACTTTCAATAAGTATTATTTATAATCTATATTGAATAAAAAAAAATTTAAGCAAAATGTTAAGTACAATGTCATCTTAATAGTTACAATGAAAATTTCATCCTTATTTCCTACACACGGAGATGGAAATTTGCTTGAAATTTAATTGCGACCACCCCTTAAGTACTACTTTACCCTATTACTTAACAATTATTTTCCTCTATCGCCTGTGACGACATCAACGGGATTATAATTGGGTGACAAATGAGTGCTTGTACTTGAGTGGATTCTGTGACGGATAGATATATCTTTCCCCTATTCTATCGTTTTTCCTCTTCCTTCTTTTATCTATGAATGCCTCGTTTTGAGTAAAAAGGCCCTCCGTTTTCCTGCGCGTACTCCATATGAACCACAGCAGCATTAAGCTGCTATTTTACGCTGGTATTCTGACGAAGCATAGACCTCCCCGTTCAAACTAAACCATTTGGGCAACAAACATAATATAGCTGCAGTATGGCCCTACCATGTATAAATATTGGAATATCTACATAAGCAATCGAGCTTTACTCGGCGTTACAAAATTTTTCTTCCAAATCGTTAGAGCCGTTTCCAAATAATCAGTAACATATTATTTTAGGTTTAATTGAAAGAATAACAAAAAACCATTATTTTCCATAAAAATGTACCTTCCCAGAAATGAGACCTAAGTTTATCGATTTCTCGTCGCTGATAACCCTTATATTGTAAACAAGCCATGCGCCACGGCTTTCTGTTAAAGTGGCATAATTAAGGTATTAAGTGTAATCAGTCAGTAGTAATTTCTTCAAATGAAATGTAGCTAATATCACTCCTGGAATTACTCTTTATCTATTCGTGAAGTTTCATCACAATAGGTTCAGCCATTAAGAACATTAGCGCGGACAGACAGACAGACAGGCTCATAATTCGATAAAAGGCATTTTTATTGCAGACAGACATTTTTAATTTAATATAAATGTTTAAATTTTATCGAAATCGCTAGAGCCGCAATTACAAACAGGTATTATATAATGAATCAGGCCAGAGTATCATAAGATGAAGTAGCAATGTCGTTCATATAGCTAAAAGAACCGACATCCGATGGGGAAGAAAGATTCCCGAGTGGCAGCCTTGCATAGGAAAGCGCAGTGCTGGGCGACCTCTGCCAGACGGAGTGACGATCTGATGAAACACGCAGCGTCGATGCATGCAGATAGCTCAGGACCGTACTTTGTGGCAATCTTAGGAGGCATATGTTCAGCAGTAGACTTGAATAATAGAGGTTGAAATTTTAAACGTACCGGTTTTAAAGGCACTTTAGTTGTTAATTTGTTCTTAGAAAATTAACTTTTTAATAAAAAGTCAAAATCGACTTCAAGTTACTAAAAAAAAAAATTGGAAGTTTCATCCAATTTGAAGTATTCGCATAATTAACAAAAATTACTTACAGTAATATTGGTTACTACATCCTAGGATTAAATGCGTTAAAATACTTAAATGGATAAACTTGGTTGAAAACAAAATTGTTTAAAAAGATACCTGGGCCGTGCATTTTATGTTATTATGAAGTTATTACGTTACGTTAGTACGTTATTATGACCTCAAAAAATATTTTAGGGGTTCTTACCTTGCTGTCGATATTATCTCCAAAATCTATGTAAGCAAAGATGTACGACTTTTAGTATTGAATATAATATTGGCTTTTCAGTCCCATGTATTTACTTATTAATTTACTTTATTCATTGTAGTTATACAGATTACTTTCCTTTACACTGTAGAGCTACACTATAGAATCATCATGGCTGGAGTATCGATTCCACCAGGTAAGGACCGCGCTCTCACATAATACCATCGTTAATAGGAAAATATTTCTGTTACGTTTTGAATGTTAAGTGATGAAAACCGAATTATCGGTTACGAATACGTATCTTAGTCAGATTTTTAATACATTAAGGATAGATGTAAATGTCTATAGGCCAAACCATCCATTTATTATCACTTAGAATGTATGTTCAAGGGTGACACCCTTATTCGTATAAAAATTACGATATTATATTCATCATGATAGCTCATTAGTTATCATTAATGTTATTACTTCAGCATGGAGTAGTAGTTCTTGGTGGAATAAAAATATATAATTAGAATATTTTATAATGGTATAAATATATTAATATGTAAAGAGGGAAAACATTGCACCTCTTTTTAAGCATATGAAATTTGCTATAATTTTATATTATGTCATAAATGATACATACATACATACATAAACACTCACGCCTGTCACCCAGAGGGGTAGTCAAAGATTATGGACTTCCATTTGGCACGATCCTGACACACCTCTCTCGCTTCCTCCACATCCATATACCTACGCATACACGTTCGTCGGTTAAAGGTACTCTTGATATGGCCCATTTTTAATATATCGACAATTTGGTCGATAAACTTTCGCCTAGGGCGACCCTTCCCGACTATGCCGTTCACCTCTGCAACATAGATTTGCTTTGTCACTCTTTCCTCATTCATTCTTTCTACATGGCCAAACCACCGAAGCATTCCTTTCTTAATCCTGGTCACAACATCATCTTGCAAACCACACTCTTCTCTTGTTAAACAATTTCTCACTCTGTCATTCAGCTTCATCCCTAACATACTCCTTAATGACCGCATTTCTACAGCATTTATTCTACTCTCATGCTTCTTCTGCCACACCCAACTTTCACTACCATACATTAAAGTAGGTACTAACACAGCATTGTGAATTACCATACGTGCCTTTTTGGACACATTCTGACTTTTCACAATAGAGTGTAGAGCCCCATTCACTCTATTTCCTGCATTCACTCGTCGTTCTATATCCTTATCATATCTACCATCCCTGCTAAACAATAAAAAAATAATAAATTATATATCATAAATGATATATAATTTATTATAAATATATAAATACTAACTGTTACTGAATTATTTTCCGTGCAACCCTAGAATAAAACGAGCCTAAATTACTCCTTTGCTTACACATAAAGTATAGATGTATACTGTCGCGGACTTTTTTATAGAAATATTTAGAAGAAACAATTCCACCATACATTATATTCGTGTAACTCTTACAGTTTTTGCACCACACGCCAAAATAGCTCGCAGATGACAGATTTTTTTTCCGACTTGCTTAACTTTTATCGTTATATTTTGGCCAATTTACACAATATCTTTATGAATTATAGCTTATGTGTTATTCTGATGTATGAGCTATATAATTGAAAAACTTAATTAAAATCCATTATTACTTTTAACGTGAAAGAGTAAATAACATCCATTCATCTTCCTAAACTTTCACGTTTATCATATTAGTGGGATTAGTAGGAAGTAGAATGTAAAGAGGGAAAACATTGCACCTCTTTTTAAGCGTATTGCTCGCACGGAGGAATGTGAAATTAGGCATAATTATATATTATGTCATAAATAATATATAATTATGCCAAATAAACATATTTGGCATAAGTTTATATTAAGAAGAAGGAGTGCAGAAAGCAAAAATTCTTTAATTTCATAATGTGTGTAACAAATACATTAAATAAAATAAAACAAAATAAAACATAATATATTGTTTTCATTTATGATGCTCTCATTTATGACGTATGCTGCCAATATCAAACACATAATTATTGTCGCTTGAACAAATTATGTCGTTTGCCTTATACTGACGATATCTTGAGTAAGCACAGGCATGTGTAGGCATATGTATGTTATTACTCTAATGTCTGTGGTCAAACATTCACACAGCGTAAATATTTTCGCCAAAAAATATGAAAATGTTGCCAAAGAATAATTATTAACAAATAGACTGAATAAGCTGGGATTTTGGCGTGATTTTAAATGTTCCTTTTTCAATAGTGTGTGGAGTTTCAAGGTAAAAATAGCTTTAATTTAGTACTTTTGTATATCAGATAGCTGTGTAAAATACAGCTTGCCTAATAAACATATTTTTTTTTATTTTTTTTATTTATTTATTTATTTATTTCGACCAGCAAGGATCATAGAGTAGTATTACATTCATTTCAAGTTAATTCTAATACTAAAATTATTACTCATTACTAAAATTAATATATTAAATGCATAAGTATTCATAATAATATTGAAAATATAATAATTATTTAATATTAACAAAATAATGTAAATCAATATAAACGTAACTCACAACAGACCCGACTTAATAATATATTAACAAAATCATAAACATAACTTATATTAATGATATAATAATAATAATTAATCATTTATTGCAGGCGATAATTTGTTAAAAGTAGATAGTAAAATTAAATAAATATTACTTCATATATCTGGGTTGCCTGTCCGAGGCAACGGATACATGGACATGAACATGCATCCAGTGCCTCAAAAAAGTACAATCGGGTTTCTCGCTAATTACGTTAAGAATGCTGTTGGCGCTCCCACGAACCCTGTGCATCAGTGACGCAGTTTTTTTGCGAATCAGTGTTGAAAAATTGTCTATGTGGGCGTCAACAAACATACCTGATGCACTACAGTAACGTGGGAGCCCCAGCAACAATCTAAAAGCGTTATTATAATGTATACGTAGGGTGTTGTATGCCCGCTGCGTAAATCTGACTCATAAGGCGCACGTATAGAGGGATTGGCAATAGGCCTTAAATAAAATAAGTTTTACCTCGACTGTACAACGTGAGAACCGGCGGGCCAGCATATTGCAGCGGACAGCCAGCGCCCTCCTTTCTCTTTCAATATCCTTATCATCTTTTAAATCTTCGGTAACCACATGGCCGAGGTACTTAAATTCGGTTACTCGTTTAAGTGCAACACCCCCTAAAGTTACAGGTGGTACGAAATTAGGTTTCTTCGTGCCCACCTTAAACACCATGAGCTCACTCTTTGCAACATTATATTTTAAACCGTGGGCTTCTGCATAAACCTCACATATGATCAAAAGCCGTCTGAGTGCACTGACTGACGGGCTCAGAAGCACCATGTCGTCTGCGTAACTGATATTGTTCGTGCAGAGTCCATCAATAGAGCAGCCGACATGTGCACTCCCGAGTCTATGAATCAGTTCATTTATATATATGTCGGAGCGTCTATTAAATACCCGGTTAGATCGAGGTAGAAGGGAGGGTATATCGAGAAACCCCCTCTTGTGTCTGTTGTATAAAGTTCACTGTAGGTGCCGTTCGCGAGGGAGTTCGCTCAAGTCATTCAACGAGTGTGGTCATTCTACTAGTGCTAAGATAGTGTCGTGGTTTTATTCGTTGTTGTAATTCTTCTAGTGCAGGTAAGGAGGATTAGTGTTGCTGAGAGTTGAGATAAGTAGTGTTGCTGTTGGTTTACATATTTTGGTGTTATCATGTAATTACGTACCTCACGTTACACTGGTGTGTGATTGTGGCAGAGACGTGTTACGGTGTGGTCGAACTGTGATTTCACTATACTGAATGTATAGTGCGTTACGTTGTCTTATTACTGATAATGATTAAACTGCGTAAGCAAGAGAGCAAGTTGAACATCCGCTCTCACACTTTTATTATTTCTAACAGTTAACGCTATCCTGATGTATTTCAGAGATCAAAATTCTGTTGTAAATATCCGACATCAGAAGTGGGATCTACTGTTGTCATTTCCGATATCAGAAGTGGGATAAAGTCACTGTTACTGCCCACCTGTTATAACCTTTAAATAGTGTGAGGGTTATTACGTTGGTGAAATACTATGATACGCCTCGTGTTTTGTTTTTGTGTTTAATTTCCTAAATCAAGTTTGTTGTCGTATTTACTACACTGACGAATCATGTAGAGTGAAAATTTACAGTGAAATATTTTAAGCCAAAAGTTAAATCATTTTGTTCGATTTATAATAAAAAGTACCCGCAAGTACTTTCATTATTTCTTAACGTTCCCAAAATGGAGGTATTCTAAATGAGTTATAGTTTGCATTCAGTGGAAGTTTAACTTGCTCAAGTTATGTTATAATTTGATACACGAGATGTGATTTACATGGGCTAATTTTAAAGTTTAAAATGTTTAAACGATGTACCGAAAAAAAATGTTTAACTTTAACGTGCTATTAATTAAAAACACGAAGTTGTGTTTCTGTGTTCTAATGTGTTGAAAAGTGTTACAGTTTACTCAGAGTATTATGTAGTCAACAAAATTGGGGCTTAATGTTGAAGGTTTACTGGAAGGCGTGGTGCTGTGGCACTCGCTCTTGAGTGGAAATATGCTGTCTGATTATGACGCCGCGGACATTTTATTTGCCGCTGCTACCGATCATCGTTTGATACAACATGAGTAAAGTAAATTTATCCTAAACATTGTCTTAAAAACTATTTTGTAAAAATAAGTGTTTAACTTTTTAATTGGTTGTGTAAAATGCCGGAGAACCGAAGCATAACTGACTAAATTGAAGTAAAGCAAAACAGTTCTGACATTGATGTTAGTATTTAAGTTTACATGCGGATCGGTCCGTACCAGAGGTTGTCGTGCAGCTGCAGCTCAGTATTTGGTGCCCTGGAAAGATGAATAGTGTCCTGAGAGTACAGCTGCATTTTTTTAAAAAAAAAAATTCCTACTAAATCTTTTTAATGTGTTCTTTTGTGTTACAGTAGCACGTGTGATGTGACTACATGTGCGCGAGTTTGAGGTGAGTGTGTGTGCCTTGCTGGTCGGAACGGACTGCCGGGTTCAGTTATAACATGACCTGGTTTCGGCAGACGCGTATACGCAGGCGCCGTCCCGGCCGTGCCTCTGAAGTCTTACACTATGTGTGCGCCAAAGTCGTACACTGTGTGCGCGTAAGTGTTATACTCTGTATGCGCGGAAGTCGTGTTCTCTGAACATGCATCAGGCTCTGTCCTGGCAGGCAGTGTCCTGGTTCGCGTTTTTGACGTGATTCACGTGGTTAACGTGGGAACTGGCAAGTTCATGTAAGAGTCTGTGTGAGATACTTCGTATACGAGATGTATCCATACTTGTGAAAGCAAAGTGCTTTATTATAGTCACCGGTATGAGAGCGTATTTCAGTTTGAGGACTTCGTATGCGTGATGGATGAGAGGATAGGCAACTGTGTATATTGTCCTGACATTAACAACTTGTTTTTACGCAGATCACGATGACGACAACCCCGACGATGCCTGTGAACCCTCAGGTGAACCTGCTGCTTCCGTTGACGCTTGGAGTGCGTGATACGGTGCAGCATCTTGGTGGCGATGGTGAGATGCGACGACTCGTTGGTGCGAGTGCGGCACGCCGTGTGCTGTTCTTTTAGCCACGTGCGCTTGCCACATGGTAGCTAACTATGGCGTGTGCTGGTTTATTTTAATAGCCACGTGCGCTTGCCTTACGCCTGCCGCAGAGGCGAACAGTGAGCGACGTGTTGATGTTTACTATGTGAGCAAACCCAGCGGTGTGCTGATGAATACTGGTGAGTCGTACCCATTTTATTATGATTCTGGGCCGAATGCCCTATCATCAAAGATTGTGTTGTGACAGTGTAAATAATATTGTAAATTCAACCGAAATCGGTCATGTTAGTGTGCAAAGTACCACACAAATACCCCCATGATCATGTGAGGAAGATCCCCGATCACCAAGTTCCTTGAGAGTTAGATGTCATAGTTGATGACAGTGGTAGTGAGACCAAATTTGATTAAGAATGCTTGTATACTCATACTCAAAACTTTAGACCGCACCTCATGAGTAACATGTGGCGATGGGTCTGTAGGAAATCGTTGGTGCGATTTCTGTCTATGTTGGTGCATATTTGGCGGCATATATGTAGGGAATCGTTGGTGCGATTCTGGCATATGTGGCAGCAGATGTGTTGTAGCATATTTGGCGGTGGATATGTGGAGAATCGTTGGTGCGATTCTGGCATATGTGACGGCAGATATGTAAAGAATCGTTGGTGTGATTCTGGCCTGTGTTGGTGCACAGATCCCCTCGTGTATTGTAGCATATGTGACGGCAGATATGTCGAGAATCGTTGGTGCGATTCTGGCATATGTGACTGCGGATATGTGAAGAATCGTTGGTGCGGTTCTGGTCTGTGTTGGTGCACAGATTTCAATGAAAGTTTCACGAGTTGAATATACATTGCTTATGAATCGTAAAGGGTAACAAAATTGTTAAAATTACTTTGTTGGAACTTGTTGATCGGAACTTCCACAATAAATCATGTTGTGCAGGAAGCACTGTGTAAGAAGCCTTGATAACAAGGCATTGTCAATTATGACAGTTGACTATTGTACTTACACTTGGGAAAAGTGAAGTACTATTTTGAATCAACCTTGTTTCTATTGGCAGAATAGCCGAGCTAGATTAATCACTGAGCATATTTTGTCTCCAGGCACTACAACCGAGGACGGATGCTAGTCAGGAATGGCCGTGTCATGGATTGATGGCGTCATAGTGAAACAAGCAGCGCCATCTAACAATTGGTTTTGCGAACTAATAATGTGTACCTACTCATGTCAGGATGGACGAGCGGATGAATTGTTGTTTGTTACAGGAATGCATAAAGATACACGCCCGAGGACGGTCGTACTTCAGGATGGCCGTGTCGGAGCGTCTATTAAATACCCGGTTAGATCGAGGTAGAAGGGAGGGTATATCGAGAAACCCCCTCTTGTGTCTGTTGTATAAAGTTCACTGTAGGTGCCGTTCGCGAGGGAGTTCGCTCAAGTCATTCAACGAGTGTGGTCATTCTACTAGTGCTAAGATAGTGTCGTGGTTTTATTCGTTGTTGTAATTCTTCTAGTGCAGGCAAGGAGGATTAGTGTTGATGAGAGTTGAGATAAGTAGTGTTGCTGTTGGTTTACATATTTTGGTGTTATCATGTAATTACGTACCTCACGTTACACTGGTGTGTGATTGTGGCAGAGACGTGTTACGGTGTGGTCGAACTGTGATTTCACTATACTGAATGTATAGTGCGTTACGTTGTCTTATTACTGATAATGATTAAACTGCGTAAGCAAGAGAGCAAGTTGAACATCCGCTCTCACACTTTTATTATTTCTAACAGTTAACGCTATCCTGATGTATTTCAGAGATCAAAATTCTGTTGTAAATATCCGACATCAGAAGTGGGATTTCCTGTTGTCATTTCCGATATATAGATTAAAAAGCGTAGGTGAGGTTAACCCCCCTTGCCTCACACCGCATTCTAACCTATACTCGTCCGACAGTGCATTAGACCACCTGACCTGATTAATTTGATGACCGTACCAATAGCTAAAAATGCTAATGTACGAGACGGGTAGACCAGCCTTTCGCAATTTATCCCACAGAATGTCATACCTGACAAGATCGAAAGCCTTTGAAAGATCCAGGAAGGCCGCATACACTGGCGTATTCCTTACAGTGTAATATCCCACAATGTGCTTCAGCGACAGTATTGCACACTCAGTGGATAGATTTGGTCTAAAACCAAATTCTGCATCGTTTAACTTAATATGTACTTTTAATTGTCTCTCAAGCACACTGTCAAGTATCTTAGCCGCAGTTGTCGCTAATGAAATGGGCCGATAGTTGCACATATCCGAAATATCGCCGGTTTTGTTTTTCAAAATCGGTACCACGACCGTTCTCATTAGCTCTTCCGGCAAATAAGAGTGCCTCATGCAGAGGGTGAAAAAGAGCGCCAGCAGTCTAGGTAAGTGCGGTCCAGCATGTTGAAAGTGCTCGATGCTAAGCCAATCGTGACCAGGTGACTTTCCTCCAGTCATGCCATTTACCAAAACAGTGATGTCCCTAGCGGTGATGCGTTAGGGCACATGAGTTGGTGCATCAGTCTGGTGATGAATCTCAGCATCGACTTCAATAGGTGACTGTAAAGAAGACTGAACCCGGAACTGACTCTTAAAAAGATTGGCTATTTTCGCCGGCTCATTCACACCTCCAACGCTCACCGGGGTACCTGTTCTAGGACTCACCTGCTTAGTATGCTTCCAAAACCCACGAAAATCTTTATTTCTATGTTGATACGCTAGTTTATTCATCTTGATTTGGTCCTGATTATTTTGACAAAACTTAAGTTTTCGTTTAAATACTCTTTTAGATTCCATCATATCATTATAAAAATACCCACCACGCGGTTTCCCATGCCAGATCCAATTTAGGAATTTTTGTCGAGCATCCCGGTGAGCATCACGCACGTGCCAGTTCCATCCCAGTATAGGTCGACCACGCTTTATGGCTATATGCCGGTCGCGATCACTGTCGTAACTGTACTTGGAGGCCTCACACAAAATATTAATAATGAATATATATAATTTATCTATCACAGATCGATGTGCTAAAATATTACACATATTATCACAACACTGACATAGTTCATACGGGAAATCGATTTCTCTTAATTTGTTGTTACAGTATTTGCCATATATGTAAATTTGGTTCAAATTACGCTCACCCCATTTTACTTTATTTATTATATATTCCTGAACCGACAGTGGTCTACGCCTAACCATTGTGAGATCACACTGCACCACTAATGGAAAGTGGTCTGACCAATAAACGTCATTATGAATTTTAATTGTGACTACTGACTTCCATGCAGCCTGAGTTGTTAAACAGTGGTCAAGCCAACGACAACTACCGTGTACATCACTCATAAAGGTATAAGAACTTGAGTTAATTCCTAGCTTCATAATATCGGCTGTAAACCAAATTTGCTCTAGACAAAATTCTAACATTTCCTTACCAAACAACGTACCTGGGTGAGCATTAAAGTCTCCTAATACATACATAGTTTCAATATTCTCATTATCAACTATTGTAGATATTTCACTTAAACACTCAACAAATTCTACCAGATTGTCTTGCTCGTCCGTAGGCATATACACATTAAAAATAACATAAACCTATCAGAAACACATACTTTAATAGCAATAATACGCTCGCTCATACACGGAACCACAGATACAGAGTCAAACACATTGTTTCTCCATAGTAAGCCGACACCGCCATAAGGCCGTCCTCGCAATATTCCTTTGCTTGTATCAACCGCAGACTTCCCGAAGAAACAAAAATCCTTTTTTTGTTTCTTCAAGTCAGGAATCTCATGGGGCAGGAGCCATGTCTCCTGGAGTGCAGTTATGTCCGCCCTTTCACTCAAAGACTTTACGAAGTCTGCTGATCTTTTAAAAGATTTACAATTAAAGCTTATCAACTTGATTGTTGTGTTATCCCTAGCATCATTATTCACCATGTTTTTTTAATAAAGATAAGTTACTCGACTTACTTTCATTAAGATTACTCGGCTTATTGAACCTAATAAATCTGCGGAAAGATACTCCAGTGGGTCATAGATTTTCATCCATAAACACATGTAGTTTATCCTTTGGAATCATAAATTTGTAAGCTCCATAGCCCTTTTGAATTTCATATTTACTTTCTCTGGTCGAACATCAGTGTTAGTTTTACATTTAATATAATTCATTATGTCAACAGTCTCGCAGCTGTTATCAACGTTATAAATATAAAACGGGATTTTTATATTTGCTGCTTTAAATTTGCAGTCTCCGTGCATATCACCCTTGCCTTTTAAACCAATAAACTTGCTTTTTACGCGCTTGTTTCGCACTAAGGTCAAATCGTCTTTTCCAAGTTCATCATCTAAGTAATCATGAATATCGCCCGCCCCCTTATTACAAACTTGTTCAATTACTAGGTTATTCGATGAAGCTGCAGTGGCCTCCTTATAAGATAAGGGGGTGTGGTTAATCTGCATTTCCGCCGACATAACCGTGGTGCGGGCTTCAATTCGCACTGGCAGTGATGAAGGTTGCATATCTTCAATACTAGCCTTACCGTAAGATTGCATTGAAACAGATAGGGGCGGGTCAGTGTTATGACCTTCTGTCGACGTTGCAAGCGAGTCAGAAATACATGTATGAGTCAATAACATATTATTGACGTTAGGATAACAGTTTCTTAGCGGTTGTTAATTCAAATGAAAAAAATATTCAAATTGATTTGGTGAAATATCAGGTATACCACAATGATCACTCGCACAATCTAAACTGGGTTTTCGACATATTCCTCTTCGTTTTGTATTAACATTATAGTTTGTCATGGGTAATTTATTATTTAGCATATCCTTTGTAGCATAGGTTTCCTTAATAATTGAAATGTCATTCTGCAACCTAATTATATCTTTTAAGAGTCTAGTCGCGTCGATGTGATCAAATGTGATTTGCGGAAGACGTTGTAAATCTCTTGCTACAAAGATAGGTAAAAGCTCAGGGTCCGACTCTTTTATAGCACAAATAATATCCGTGATTTCTCGCTAACTTTTGCAGTCTCCTTTTCTAATTCTATTGTGGTTATTCATTTTCAAGGACTCAAAAAGTAATTTCTTAGCCTCTGTGATTTCATTATTGAATTAGGTTGAATTTCGACCATTAGTGTCAAATTGAATTGCATATGACAATATGTTTCACAACGATGTTGCTTCAAATCCTTTTTGCTACTCCCCTCAAACTTGAAGGAACCATTGTATATTTTTAAGAAAATCACTAGATTTTTTAGGGAAATGATAAAATAGTGTTGTTATTTTAACATCCTCCATAATTTGATCAAATCACTTAGGCGAATTGACCAAATCTCTGTTTTTATTCTGCGACATACACATTTTATAATATAATTTAAATAGTAATTTAGACCTACATCGAATGAATATAACTCCAAATTCTTATCTCATTCAGCCTAAACCCTAGTAGGTACGATGATGTGCATTTAGTGCATTAGTATTGATGGACAGAACGAAATTATAACGTCTTGTATGACAGCGGAACCCTACAACGTGAATCATTAAAAGATTTTGTATATAAAAAAGCTTTTTAAAAAAATAATTTTTTGAAACATAGTTGAATGTGTTTTTTGAAGCAATATTTTTAGACTTATAAAAAGGAAGACGCTTATAGCTCTATTTTATAAGTATGTTTATTTTTTGTGTCATGTTACGCGATATCTCCGTAAAATGTGATCCGATTGTGATAATGTGTCTGTCAGTTAAATGTTTTACTTTAAGGGGCATCTCATATAAATAAGGCGGGGGGGTGGTGCACCCTTAAAAGTGGCGAAATAGGGGACAAGTATTTTAATGTACTGCTTAGACGACATTCAGATTGTGATATTCCTCCCTCAGTCCACTCAAAAGGGTCAAAATAGTCTATAGAAGAATTTAAGCCCCGTTTTTCTGAAAAGTGATGTATAATTTTTCCTTGAAATCGGCTTTTACTTTTATTAAAATAAAATTTTTCTTCAATAAGTTTAATTGGAAATGTAAAAATCTATTTATCTAAACGTTAAAAGGTAATTAACTTGTTTAACCTTTTGTTAGAACTACCTCAATATAAAGATTAATTCTCGTGTACACCGGACCGAGTAAATCCGTATTAAACAAAGGTGTCCCAAAAGACAAGATATCCAGTCAATTTCTCAACACGACAGATAAAGCGTCAGGTAGGGTCGTCCCTAATCGATAACTAATAATCTTTTAAGTATGTGGTGATCATACATCACGTTGTTGTATATTATTCTATCAACTCTTCAGAGCTCTCTCAAGGTATTTTTTTTAATATAAAGTTAAAAGCCGACTTCAAAGAACTGAAAACGCAACATTATTTCATATGCCGAAGTCAAGACCTTAATTTTTATATACACTATATCTTAGCACCGACTATATTGTACGGCAGTATATCTTAGCAGTCGGCTTTTACCTTTCATTAAAAGCTAATTTTCTTAACGTAATTTTGGAATAAAGAAAAATAAAAATATTGTATGAGTTACTTTTATTACCATACAAAAGAAAATGTGTTATTGATTATATTATGAACTCCCGGGCTAAGTGGACAACCTAAATTTTACAGTGTGGTCACCGTCTGTACCAGTGAATTTTTTAATCGTTATGCTGATAAAACACGTGCTCGGTTGTGAAAGAAAATAACGTGGGTAAACCTGTATGTCTGAGAATTAAAATATTTCGAGCACTATGAAGTTCGCAAGCACGCATTAGAGCTGCTCGACGGATCGATTGCTCCATAACCTTTTCAAAAATTATGGAAGTCCTGTGGATAGTCTGTAACTTTACTTTTATAAATATATTTCCTAGTTCTAGATGAATTGGAAAAAACATGCTATACATATTTCATACTACAGGTTAACAAGGTTAACAGAAAAATGTTTGCAACTTTAAGCTCTTTACGTATATTATGAAATTTTCTTCTCACAGTCATTACACCTGCGCTTGCTTATTCTTTATTTCGGGTACCCTTAACTATATGCTGATATTTGCTGTCTTGATATTACAGAGACTTCATATATTTACTCGTATTAGATTCATATTAGGGCTTCGTAATCACGTTTACGAATATCGCAAACAGCTGAAGTGGCTCCCGATCCTCGACCTACCTTCGCAGGAATACTCATATTCTCTCCGCTTTGTACGGCATACTGTTTAATCCCTTCACTCATTATTACCTAGAAGATAATTTTCTGTACCTTTCCCTTGATTGGTTCCTTCAATCTTCTGTCAATCTACTTTCCACACACCTATTAATAAATCCTTTAGTGTGCATCACAATAAATCTCTCTAATTTAATCTAAGTCTTGTTAAAACGTATTAGGTATATGGAATGCTTAATTGAAAATTTCTTTATAATTTGATTTCATGAATTATTTACGCAAAAGATGGTTTTTATAGAAGAAGATGTTTTTCATAGATTGTTATACAAACGAGTGCAAATTCTACATGAAGGTAATTGAAGCTCTAAGATACGAGTAGAATACCTCTATAAAAATCTCTTTCAAAATGAAAAGACCACATTTTGTACATTTCTTAAATACTATTAACATTTCTAATATTTCCTTCAACCACTTCAAGAAAGCTTAAAGTACTTGTGTTAGAAGTGGTTCACAATAGTAGTCGCATGGCGGATTTGAACCCACGACTATATTATATTTGGTAAATCCATTATTACTACTGTTATTTCTTTTTTTTATATAAATCGTTCCCTCCACATAAGGGTTTTCTGCTGTATTGTGGGGGCAGTTTACATACATAAATTTTACAAGGAAAAACGTCCGCACCAGACCCGGAACAGTCATGTGTAAGCAATACAAATACTTGTTCCGTGCGGGATTCGAACCCGCAGCCCTTAGAACTGCAACTCATTGCTCTAAGCCACTGCGTGACGGAGCCACCTATTCTGTATAATATTATGTAAAATGTGGAATAAAAATGTATCAAATAAATATTTTACTAACAAATATTTACCATTTAACAACAAGAGCAGCAGTCAGCTAATGAAAGTGTTTTCCAATATCAATGTTTCGTAGAATATTATGCAGTAAAATACCACCCTTTAAAATTAATGTTATGAAATAATGAAGTTATTATTAGGTAAAACACCAACCTTTAAAATTAATGGTGGAAAATAAGTTGACATTTCAAAAATTACAGAAATGAAAAAAAAATATTGGATTGAATAGTTGATCTTAAGTAAAATAGAATATGAAATGGAATGTTAAGGAGATGTACTTTAAAGGCTATAAACACAAAAATTTCCTTAATTTTTGGGTCAAGTAAAAGCATAATCCCTAAAACAAAAAGCTCCCTGAAACTATTCATTCCTCACATTTCATTTGATATCAATCACAGTTACAGCATCTCGGGGGCGCTCGTATGTTCTCGGCAAAATTCGGTTCTTCTAGTTCGTAGCCGTATACTTCAGTGTATCTACGCAGCTACGGTGGCCGAACGTATCGTGATCGTAGTGCAGTACTACGCAGCGTAGCGGGAGGTTTAAAAGTATTTTGTTAAAGTAAGAGACCACAATGAAGTTATTATAACAATTTTGAGGATAATTATGTCGAAGTGAAGGTTAAGGAGTGTATAAAATTAGAGGATTTGAAAGGGTTTATACGTTTGTTCGACATTTGTTATATGGTAAGTACCAATAAAATCTTTTAATTTAATGACGTAGTGTATATTACGTTTTCCTATTGTTAATTAACTTTCATATTATATATGACATTTTAAATTTTACATTTATAAACAACATTTACAATTTGATTACAAATATAAACTTTTAGTTGATAAAGTAAAATAGATTGTGATTTTACTCTTATAGAGTTTTGTATTTTATGTGTTAAAAAATAAGCTTTTTTGAATATGGGACATATACCTTTTTTAAATACATATAT